CCCCCCCATACTGGAATATGGCGAGCAGACTTGCTGGTGTCTCAGGTTCCCACCATGACCGTGTATTAGAGAGGGAGGATTGACCGCCAGTGCAATGAAGATACTGCCGTCACTACAAAAGGGAAAAGCAAATTACAGCTACTGAAGTGTAGGGGAAGGTTCAGGGCTAATTGAGAGTTTGAATACCAAGTATGTGGAATCTCACATTCATTCTGTTAAACGTGGAACTGCACTTTCCTTCTCCATCACTGCTGCTTTACATTCTGGCTCTCTGCCCTTGCATTCACGAAGCACTGTGTCTCAGAGCCTCATTTGAAAGGGCAGCAATCTTTCCAAACCCTGTTTAGTTGATGCAGTTCACGGTCAGAAACACTGTGTGGATAATTCATCACATCCATGTGATTTATTCAATGCCGTCTGGCATTGTCCTCTTCTGGCGGTTTAGTTTTATTTTCATATCAAGGTGTTACTAACTAAGTACCACATTGTGAGATGTTGGTTGGAGTGTTGAAGAGGTGAGTGCCTCAGGGTGTTAGCATTCTTCTGGGAAGTGTTCAGCTGACGTGCAATTGGTAATGCTGCTCCCAGTGCAGCACTACGACATCCTTCCATCAGTCACACAACTTGACCATAGGTCTCCCTTGACCAAAGTTGGCGCAGGAGAGGCTTCTCTTTGAAGGGAGTCGTGTTGATTGACAGCTCCGTCTTATTGTTTTGTTAGACGGGGCCTTCAAAACATTTGGTGCAGGATCGAGGGTTGGTGGTCACTGATCCCAAGGCCAGAGATATTGTGAAGGAGCAGAAGAGTTACTGTGCTGCCAAAGTGAAAGAGCGACACTTCAGTGGTGATGTCCTGGGATACGTCACACCCGTGAGTAATTGAGATGGATGGAGTTTATGTGATGGATTGATCTTATTATCACGTGTACCAAAATACAGTGAAAAGCTTTGTACAGGCAGATCACAGCAAGCAAAGGATGTATAGATCAAAAAGACTTGGAGGCATACAGGTTACATTGCAGGTTACATTATTTGAGACTAGAGTCCGTTCAACAGTCTGATAACAGTCAGAAAGAAGCTGCTCCTAAACCTGCATGTGCATGTGTTCAGGCTTCCATATCTTCTGCCTGACTGAAGAGGTTGTAGGAGATCATTCCCAGGCTGCGATGGGTCTTTGATGTTGGCTGCCTTTCCGGGGCATCAAGCCATGTAAATGGAGTCCATGGATGGAAGGTTGGCTTCCGTGATGGTCTGGGTTGTGCACACCACCTTCTGTAGTTTTTTACAGTCCTGGGCAGAGCAGTTGCCCTACCAGGCCGTTATGCACCTGGACAGTATGCTTTCAGTGGTGCTTCTGTAGAAGTTGGTGAGGGACCTTATGGACATGTCAAATTTCCTGAGCTCCCTGAGGAAGAAGAGGTGTTGTTGTGTCCTCTTGACTGTCGCATTTACTTCCTGCAGTCACGTTGGATCTTATTACAGAGCAGTGTCAACAGTGGAGTCCTTAATTTGCACCCTGTTTGGTGCAGTCCCTCTCCGGGGTGGGGGGAGGAGGAGAGCAGGGTGGTGCGTGTTTTTTAAATCAAACTGGAGAAAACACACACACGGGGGGTCCATGCAACCTGTGTGCCATTGAATTATTAGCCTCCAACTTCCTGGGAGAACATACTTCTTCAGACTAGAATTTTAAAAGCTGTTTGAGTTGGACCTTTTGGAAACAAATGGTTATAATCTGTTGTTTTCTATTCAGCAAGTTACATGCAAGGCTTTAGTTTGTTCAGGCTAATAGACAGCCAGGACTGAGTTACAGATTGGAACCTAATCAAGGCGTTTGGAATGGTTTGTATATAGAGTAACAGATACCCAGGAGTGAGTTACAGACTGGAATTCATTTGACAGGCACGGGGTGTTTATATACAGTTTAATGTAGATAAATGTGAGGTGCTGCATTTTGGAAAGGCCAATCAGGGCAGGACTTATAAATTTAATGGTAAGGGCCTGGGGAGTGTTACTGAACAAGGGTTCTTGGAGTGCAGGTTCATAGTTCCTTGAAAGTGGAGTAGCACGTACACAGGATAGTGAAGAAGGCGTTTGGTATACTTGCCTTTATTAGTCAGTGCATTGAGTATAGGAGTTAGGAGGTCATGTTGTGGCTCTACAGGACATTAGTTAGGTCACTTTTGGAATACTGTGTTCAATTCTCGTCTCCCTGCTAGAGGAAGGATGTTGTGAAACTTGAAAGGGTTCAGATAAGATTTACAAGAATGTTGTCGGGGTTGGAGGGTTTGAGCTATAGGGGGAGGCTGATTAGGCTGGGGCTATTGTCCCTGGAACATCGGAGGCTAAGGGGTGACCTTATAAATGTTTATAAAATCATGAAGGGCATGGATAGGGTGAATAGACAAGGTCTTTTCCTGGACTGAGGGAGTCCAAAACTAGACGGCATAGGTTTAAGGTGAGAGGGGAAAGATTTAAAAGGGACCTAAGTGGCAACTTTTTCACGCAGAGGGTAGTGCACATATGGAACGAGCTGCCGGAGGAAGTGGTGGAGTCTGGTACAATTACAACATTTAAAAGGCATCTGAGTGGGTATGTGAACAGGAAAGGTTTAGAGGGAAATGGGACTAGATTAGTTTAGGATATCTGGTTGGCATTGACGAGTTGAACCGAAGGGTCTGTTTTCATGCTGTACATTAGTGTGTGGAATGAAATGCCAGAGGAAGTGGTGGATTCCCAGATACAGTTATGTTTAAAAGAAGTTTAGATAAGGACATGAATAGGAAAGGTTTGGAGGGATATGGGCCAGGAGCAGGCAGGTGGGACTAGTTTAGTTTGGGAACGTGATTTGTGTGGACTAGTTGCACCAAAGGGTCTGTTTCCGTGCTGTATGACTTTATGGAAGAGACTGTTAAAGAACAATTAGTTGATCATGCTGGTTGTGCGCAAAGGTAAACCCTAAGTCAGTTAGAAATGTCTTAATTCACAAAATATTGAAAGAAGTTTGCACCAACACACAGGAAAGTCTGCTTTGGAGGCAGCAGTGTGATTGAGATATTAAATAATTCAGTTGTGCCTTTTTGACCAAGTGCCTTGTAATAGAGTTGTTTGCAAAGTTACATAAGTGGGACTGCAGGCACAGTGCCTGTGGGAATAGAAAATGGATCAGGAGATGTCAATCTGAGAGGAGATGAGAGCAGTGATTTCTGAGCCAAGACAAGGAAATGACAAGGCCTTCCCCATGGAGGTGTTCTTGTAGAGTTATTAATGACATGGGTTTGTGCATGTGGCACATAACCAGAAAGCTCGAGATGATAGGAAATTCGGAAATGTAATAAACAGTGGGGGTTGTACTGAATCGCAAGACACAGCTTTATAAATCGGGCAAATATGTCAGTTGAAATTTAGTGCAGCAATTCATAAAGTGGTATGTCTTGGTAGATTGGATAAGATCATAGAAATGAAATTGCCCCATTTTAAAGGGAGTCCAAGAACATGAAAGCTGAAGGGGGAAGGACATGAACCCTTGAAGGTGGTGCAGTGGTCTTGTCACAGGACTAATAATGCTGTGGAGAACTGGGTTCAAAACCCATCACAGCTGATTTGCGCAATTTGATTTCAACTCTCAAAAAATTGGGAACTCAAGTCTCAGGATGACAATGGAACCACAGTTAATTGTCATGAAAACCCACCTTGTTCACTGTCATTTAGGGAAGGAAAGCAACCACTCTGACCTGCACGTGACTCCAAACCCACAGCCATGCGGTTGATGCTAGAAACAGCACCTTTGGCTTGTGAAGAACCACAGCGGGTATAAACATGAAGGCCAGGTTCCTTTATCAAATACTGGCCAGATCCCAACTGGAATATGGTTACCAATTCTGGCCATCACATAGAAACAAGAGTAGTCCATTCAGCCCCTCAGACCTGTTCCTGACCGAGGAAGTTGAGGCCATCGGAATGGCATGGAAAAGATTTCCTGGAATGATTTTAACCTACATACCATTCTGTTTTACGAGAGGCCAGAGGAATTTTTTCACAGTCAAGTGTTGGCGGTGCACTGTCAGTAGCAAGAGGCACACTCGACACCTCGTCACCATTCCCTTTCTCTCACTGGCCTGGTCCAATGTGTGTCATTGTTTTTCAGTGGAACAGCCATGGTTATGAAATCACCAAGACGTTCGGTGGCAAATTCACCTTAATTTCTCCAGTTTGGCTTCAGATCCAGAGGAAAGGAGTTCAGCTTTATCACGTCACTGGTCACCATGACATAGACCAAGGTATTATTTTTACCTTTATCTTGATCGGTACTTTGCATCCAACACTGTTACCTTAACTTTAACCCCACTGCCTCACAATCTTCCCAGCACAAGCTGCTGCCTGATTGTCATGGGCTATTTCCGTCCTGATACGAGAGAAACTGTGTGGGCTTGTAGCTCTACACAAAATGGGCTGAAGCAGAGATTAGAAATTAAGATTCTTGCCTGTACAGTTGGTTTTCAGTGACAGGGCAGGCTGGTGAAGGAAAAGGTATGATCTTGAAGCTCTGATTTAACTAACATTGGCATAATCCAGGCACTGAATGGAACAAAAAAAATGCTTTTCACACCCAAAGCATTCTATGGCCAAGGGAATACTCTGAAGTGTTGCCGCTGTAGTGACACAGCTGAGTCTCAAACAGCATTGTCCAAATAATAAAAACCCGAAAGAACTGCGGTTGCTGTAAATCAGAAACAAAAACAGAAGTTGCTGGAAAAGCTGAGCAGGTCTGACGGCATCTGTGAAGAGAAATCAGAGTTAACGTTTCGGGTCGAGTGACCCTTCTTCGTATCTTTCCTCAGTGTTCTGAGGAAGGGTCACCGGACCCGAAACATTAACTCTGATTTCTCTTCACATCTGCTGCCAGAACTGCTGAGCTTTTCTAGCAGCTTCTGTTTTTGTCTGAATAATAAGTTGATTGTTAGCTTGCGCGCTCTCTCTCTCTCCATGGATGCTGTCTGACCACAGTGATCTCCAGCATTTGTTGTTTACAGTACAGATTCCAGCACCTGAAATAATTTGTTCCTACTGAGCAATAAATATTCCCTGGAATTTATCCGTTCAGCTGATGAGCCCTGGATTGTTCGCTGCTCACCTACTCTGGGATTGAATTGAATCCTGCTCTGTATCGTCTGCTCTCTGTCAACTTTCAGCACTGTTGCCTTGTTTCTATCAGGCAGTGACCCCTGCATTTCCAACCTGATTCCTCCTTCCCAAAGCTCCCTGGGATTAAACAAAATCCAAGGCTGCTGAGACTGGAGTTTTCTTGAAGGCACATTTCCTGCTTGCTTCCGTGAGTCCCACCTTGGGTCTATTCACTCAAGAAAGAGCGAGGATGACAGGGCTTGATATTAACATCACCTTCGTTGAAATTCTACTGCACAATTAATGAGATGTTTTAGTTGTGATGTTGTAGTGAAACCACTAGGCCACAGGAATGTTACAGGATTCACAGCCTACTCTATAAACCATACCTTGCACACGGTCATTAAAATGTACAGGCCTGTGTTACTGAATTAGAAAGCGGGGTGTGTCTTGTGTGTGGTGGAGGGGGTGGGTGAAGCGGGTGTCAGTGTGTTGGGTTTCGTGTTGGGGTAGGGAGTGTGTGGGGGCATGGAGGGGGAATGTGTGTGGGCGTGGGGGTGGAGGTGGAGTGTGTGCAATGATCTGCATCCAGAGTAGAAGGCTTTTTGTTTTAGTGATATTAAACTGTACATTCTGAAAAGTAGCCATGCTGGTGTTTATTACATCCTCCTAGCTTTTTTTCCATTCATTTATGGGACATGGGGTTCACTGGCTGGGCCCATAATTTCTTGCCCGTCCCTAGTTACCCCTTGAGAAGGTGGTAGTGAGCTGCCTTCTTGAACCGCTGCAGTCCAACTGCTGTGGGTTGACTGACAATGCCATTAGGGAGGGAATTCCAGGATTTTGACACAGTGACAGTGAAGGAATGGCGGTATATTTCCAAGTCAGGATGGTGAGTGGCTTGGAGGGGAACTTGGAGGTGGTGGTGTTCCCGTATATCTGCTGCCCTTGTCCTTCTAGATAGGAATGGTCATGGGTTTGGAAGGTGCTGTCTGAGGATCTTTGGTGAATTTCTGCAGTGCATCTTGTAGTTAGTACACACTGCTGCTACTGAGCATTGGTGGTGGAGGGAGCAGATGCTTGTGGATGTCGTGCCAATCAAGCGGGCTGCTTTGTCCTGGATGGTGTCAAGCTTCTTGAGTGTTGTTGGGGCTGCAGTGCATCCAGGTAAGTGGGGAGTACTCCATCACACTCCTGCCTTGTGCCTTGTAGATGGTGGACAGGCTTTGGGGAGTCAGGAGGTGAGTTACTCGCCGCAGTGTTCCCAGCTTCTGGCCTGCTCTTGTATCCGCTCTGTTAATGTGGTGAGTCCAGTTGAGTTTCTGGTCAATGATAACCCCCAAGATGTTGATAGTGGGGGATTCGGTGGTAGTAACGCCATTGAATGTCAAGGGGCGGTGGTTAGATTGTCTATTATTGGTGATGGTCATAGCCTGGCATTTGTGTGGCATGAATGTCACTTGCCACTTGTCAGCTGCTTTATATGGGTTGGCTTGCCTTGTTGTAATAACCACAAGCTGAGAATGTGATCATAAGTCATTGCCTTTCTTGCATAAATGGGCAGTTCTGACCTGCTTTCTGAAGCAGGATACTTGTTTTAAAGGGGTTTGGCTGTGCTGTTTCTGGGAGCTGACACTGGACATGTATAACCCTGCTTGTGTTATTGATGAACAGGCTGGGTGAAGAATGTGAAGGCAGAATTTGAAGCCGTCCATTTTGGTGAGTAAGGTTTTTTTTTGACTGTTTCCTTACCCCAGTCTCTCTTCTAACTCTCCCAATGTGACAATCTCTCCCATCTCTGAATATTGTGTTTGCCTTTTGGGTTAACTCCTGGTGGATAATACAGTTCTGTGCACTCCCTCTCTCTTCCACGCCACCCCCACCTCTGAATACATAGATGCTGTTCAAATTGCAATTGGCGATAGTGAGTTTAAAGTAGGGAAGTTACACTGCATCTTCCATGTTACTTTAGGCCACAGCTAGAGTATTGGGATGCATTCTGGTCACCACATTTTAGGAAGGACATGAGGGTCTGTGAGAGAGTAGAGAGGAGAACAGGGGTGAGGGAGTCTAGATTGAGGGTTAGTTTGGAGAAGCTGCTGTTGTTGGAGCAAAGGACACTGAGAGGAGATTGGATGGAGGTCAGCAAGGTTTTGATGGGTTTTTGAGGAGCTGGACAGAGAGAAACTGTTCCCATTGGGTTGATGGTGAAGGACTAGGGGAGACAGGTTGATGGTTTTGAGGAAGGGCTGCAGGGGAAGACCAGTTTTAACAGCGAGAGTAACTCCAGGCACAATGAGGGTGGTGCAAGTGGAGACAGTGAATGGTTTTGAAAGGACACCGAATAGACACTCTAGGGAAACAAATTTGCAGGGATACAGGGTAGAATGAGGGAATAGGACTGACTGGATTTGTGTACAAAAGGCTGACGTGGACTAGATGGGCAGAATAACCTGCTCTGTGCCATATTGTGTTGTCCGGGGTGGATGTGATTCCATTATGTGTCTGCCATATGTATTGGTCGAGGTGATCCCTCTTCATTGAAAACACTAGGTCACTTGATTGGATTGTTTTTGAGCTGCAATTTAAAGTTGAAATTTGTCGTGGGAACTGAAACACTTCAGAAAGAAACCCATTTTCTCTCTTATCCTTTAATGGTTGCAGACTCCATCAAATTTCACCAGGTTCACAAAAGTCTTGCTGTCTCCTTCCTGGGCTTTTTTGGAGCTGAGGGAGATGAAAACTGAAAGAAGTTTCAATGGTCCATCCAGCCTGTCCCAGGACTAATATCCCTCCGTTGTTATCTTCTCAATTATTCAGCCAGATCTCCTAGACAATCCATTACATACATTTTCCTCTACGACAACATATCTATGTGCTCATTGTATATTGTAAACTTGAACCCACATCATGGTACTCTGGTTTGTAACAGTCTGAAACAGATTATCTGGCCACATTAGGCCTTATTAGTTTCTTTAAGATTTTAAATAAAATTTCTCCCCAGCCTTCTCTCGAGTGGTAAAGGTATGTTCTGTGGCATCAGTCTGACTATACCAGTGCCTGTGGATTCAGGCTGTAGTGGTGATCAGAACTGTGACGCTGCTCTCTGTCTGACTGTACCAGTGCCTGTACAGTTCCTTTTACCAGTTTTTGATGTTGATTTTGTTTCTCATTTCTGCTCTGCCCTCAGTTCCTCGGATTTTGTTTGATGCCTGGACATACCGTGACTATGAAAGTCTTTTTAACAGCGAGGATGAAATCGAAGAGCTGTCAGAAGCATTAGTGCAGACTGCAAAGGTCAGTGACTCCCGTTCAGGAACTGTGCTCCCCGTCCTGTCAGTCAGTTACCTGGGAAGGCAGTTGCATCTTCCTCCTCTTCCCCACATTGATCAGTTACCTGGGAAAGCAGTGGGACTTTCCCTCTCCCAACACGTTCTTTCCCTGACGAAAGACAGCGGTTTCAAGCCGGGTAGCTGAGTGGTCTAGTTTTCTCCTCGAGCACTCCCATGAGGCTAAAGGGAATGGACCTGATTGGCCGGATGTTTGTGTAAAATTAGAATATTGGTCAGGGTGGGGAGACCTACACCTGGGAATGTCGGGTCCGGGCCGGAGTGCACCAGGAATGTCGTGTTAGGGCCGGGTTAGAGTGAGAATGAACTGGGAATGTCCAGGCAGGTGCGGTAAATCACATGGAGTCTCTGAACTTCAGTCAGCCCAGTGACGAAAAGTTTACCATAGATGTGAAAAGTGCTGGTTACAGGCTTACTTTGTAACAGAGACAGTCAGTGCCTGAAGCTGGGCGTTGGAGGAGTTTTGGTCAATCCCTATGGGATCACTCTTGGTCTGGGTAAGTGATTAAACTTTGTCAACAGGCTTCTTGTTCTGAACGCTGACAAATATATTGTGGTACAGATACTTGGAGTCTGGGTCTTAAACCTGAGCTGTGATGGAGATAGGGCCTGGGATTGCTCAGTGTTTCTCAAGTCCTCCTCCCCGTTCACACTGAGCCTCTTGAGAGAAGTTCCTGTTCAGTGAGTCTCTCCCAGCAGATATTTTCATGGTGGGTAGGGTTGGTTCAGCCATTACTGAAGGAAGTGATCCTGTGCAGAGTATTAACTACCTGCGGCAAATAAGGGCCAGTTTTGTGGAGACTTGCAGCGTGGGCTGCCAGACTTGCACATTAACAGTGCACTGAGCTTCCCCATGTATGACTGAAGGCTGCATACTGCCCATGCAATCATCATTTAATGTGGATCTAACCAACAGAGCCCTATTTGTGGGATTAATCCATGTGCCCTGGTGCTGTTTGAATGCTTTGGAAATTAGAAAGCATAATTGCCCTTTCCTGGGCTCCCCTTTTTACTATTTATCTATTTTAAAAATATGTTCGATTGCTTGTTTATGTTACCCACTGTGCTGTTCCCATCCATTCTTCACATCTCATTCTTTTTAGATTTTTATACTTTATGTATTCAGTTTGAATCTCTCGCCTTTATTATGAATCCTGCAATTGTCATAAACCTGCTTTCTCTATCTCATTTTAATCTCTGATTTTAGAATCATCCAGGTGAATTTCTTTTCTTTCTGTCTCCTGGGCATGAACCTACTGTATGTACAAACTATCTCTTCTCTCTCCTCTGTTCCCATTGTTGAAGTCCTGTTCTGCTGACCAGTTTTGGATCCCAAGCCACTCGAATTAGATCATTTTTCACCTCTTTGATATTAGCCCTTCTCAGTTTAATATATTTTTGCTTGATTTTACCTCCTCTTTTTCCATCATTCTTCTATGTCTGATCATATTATGATTGTGGTTTCCTAAACCCACAACAATATCAACTTGTATTTACATGGTGCCTTTAATGTCATGAAATGTTCCAAGCTGCTTCACGGGACATTATAATACGAAATGTGACTTGGTGCTACGTAGAGTCATAGGGCCACGGAAACAGAACCTTCAATCCAACCAGCCCTGCCGACCATGATCCCAAACTAAACTAGTCCCACCTGCCTGCTCCTGGCCCACATCCCTCCAAACCTTTCCTATTCCTGTCCTTATCCAAACATCTTTTAAATGTTGTAACTGTACCTACATCCTCCACTTCCTCTGGCAGTTCATTCCACATATGAACCACCCTCTGTGTGAAACATTTGCCCTAGGTGTCCTCTTTAAATCTTTCTCCTCTCACCTTAAAAATGTGTCCCCTAGTTTTGAACTCCCCCACCCTAGGGAAAAGGCCTTTGCTATTCACCTTATCTATGCCCCTCGTGATTTTATGAACCTCTGTGAGGTCATCCCTCAACCTCCTACACACCAGTGAAAAAACTCCTAGTCTATCCAGCCTATTTTTTTGTAACTCAAACCCTACATTTCCATCAACATCCCAGTGTTCTGAACCCTCTACAATTTAATAATGATGTTCTATGAAGCTATTTTGTTAAGTAGACCAGAGCTTTGTCAGAGGTAGTCTTTAAGGACTGTCTCGAAGGAGGAAACTGAGGTAGAGAGGCAGAGAGGGACAGGAAGGGAATTCCAGAGCCTGAGGCCAAGGCAATTGAAGGCGCAGTCATTAACCACGGAGCAATGCAAAATTGGGAATTCCGAAGAGACCAGAATCAGAGGGGCAGGTATCAGAGGTCTGTGGTGTTGGAAGAGATAACTGAAGTAGGGGAGGAGTGAGGCTGCAGATGAATTTGAAAATAAGAATGAGGAATTTAAAGTAAAAATATGGCTTGCCTGGAGGTAATGTAGGTCTGCAAGCACGAGTGTGTCAGGGGAATAGGACTTGCTGAGGATTAGGACACAGGCCTTTTTGAATGCTGTCCAGTTTTCAGAGGGTAGAACATGGGAGACCAGCCAGGAGATAGTCAAATCCAGAGGTACCAAAGGAATATCAGCAAGCTGAGGTGAGCCAGGCTAAGGTTGAATGATGTTATAGAGCTACAAGGAAGCAGTCTTAGTGATGAAGTGAGCTCTAACGTTGAAAGCTCATGTATATATCAAGTATGTCACCAAGGTCAGGAGCAACCTGGTTTGGTCTCAGACTATGGCCCAGGAGACACATGCACTCAGCAGTTGGAGGTCACAAGCAATGGCTTCCATCTTCACGTTATTTAATTGAGGAAATGTCAACTCATTCAGGCTTGGGCTGACAAGTGGCAAGTAACATTTGTGCCACACAAATGCCAGGAAATAACCAGCTATAGTGAGAGAGTCAAACCATTGCATCTTGACTCACAGTGACATTGACATTGTTGAATCTCCCACTATCAACATCCTGGGGGGTTACTATTGACTAGAAACTGAACTCGACCAGCCATATAAATGACTTGGATGAGGAAGTGGAAGAGTGAGTTAGTAAGTTTGCCAATGACACGAAGGTTGGTGGAGTTGTGGATAGTGTGGAGGGCTGTTGTAGGTTGCAACGGGACATTGACAGGATGCAGAGCTGGGCAAAGAAGTGGTAGATGGAATTCAACCCGGAAAAGTGTGAAGTGATTCATTTTGGAAGGTTGAATTTGAGTGCAGAATACAGGATTAATGGCAGGATTCTCGGCAGTGTGGAGGAACAGAGTGATCTTGGAGTCCACATCCATAGATCCTGCAAAGTTGCTACCCAAGTTGATAGGGTTGTAAAGAAGGCGTATGGTGTGTTGGCTTTCGTTGGCAGGGGAATTGAGTTTAAGAGCCGTGAGGTTATGCTGCAGCTCTATAAAACTCTGGTTAGGTCACACTTGTAATATTGTGTTCAGTTCCAGTCACCTCATTATAGGAAAAATATGGAAGCTTTAGAGAGGGTGCAGAGGAGATTTACCAGGATGCTGCCTGGACTGGAGGGCAGGTCTTATGAGGAAAGGTTGAGAGAGCTAGGGCTTTTTCCATTGGAGCAAAGAAGGATGAGAGGTGACTTGATGGAGGTTTACAAGATGATGAGAGGATTAGATAGAGTGGATAGTCAGAGACTTTTTCCCAGGGCAGAAATGACTATTACGAGGGGACATAATTTTAAGGTTATTGGAGGAGGGTATAGGGGAGATGTCAGAGGTAGGTTCTTTACACAGGGAATGTGGGTGTGTGGAATGCGCTGCCGGCAGTGGTAGTGAAGTCAGATACTTAAGACTTTTAAGCGACTCTTGGATAGGCACGTGGAGGATAGTAAAATGTAGGGTGTGCAGGGTAGATTGATGTTAGTAGGATAATAGGTCGGCACAACATTGTGGGCCAAAGGGTCTGTACTGTGCTGTACTGTTCTATGTTCTATATAAATGCACTCCCCAAAGGCTGTCTACCATCTACAAGGCACAAATCAGGAGTGTGATGGAATACTCCCCTTTTGCCTGGATGGGTGCAGCCCTAAGAACACTCAAGAAGTTTTAGAAGCAAGCAAGAAGTCGGGGGAGGCAATGGCCTAGTGGTATTATCGCTGGACTATTAATCCAGAGATCCAGATAATGTTCTGGGGACCCAGGTTCGAATCCTGCCACAGCAGATGGTGGAAATTGAATTCAATGTCGGAAAAACCCATCTGGTTCACTAACGTCCTTTAGAGAAGGAAACTGCCATCCTTACCTGGTCTGGCCTACATGTGACTCCAGACCTACTGCAATGACTCTTAAACCCCCTCTGGGCAATTAGGGATGGGCAGTAAATGCTGCCTAGCCAGCAACACCCTCATCCGTGAATGAATAAAGAGGGGGAAAAGAAACCATCCAGGACAAAGCAGCCCACGTGATTGGCACTACACCTACAAGCATCCGCTCCCTCCACCACCGATGCTCAGTAGCAGCAGTGTGTACTATCTACAGAAATTCACCAAAGATCCTCGAAACCTTCCAAACCCACAACCGCTTCCATCTGGAAGGACAAGGGCAGCATGTGCATGGGAACACCATCCCCCTGCAAGTTCCAAGTCACTCACCATCCTGAGTTGGAAATATATCACCATTCCTTTACTGTCGCTGGGTCAAAATCATGGAATTGCCTCCCAAGGAATGCAGGATGGGCTATAATATTTCTAGTGACATCCACTTAACTTTATAATAAATACTCCCTTTGCCCTCCTTCATTCCTCAGAACCAGACTCGGCACTGCTTCCTGTCTCTCTGTTGATGGAGGCACTCAGCTGGAAAGTTCTCTTACACAAATATTCAGGAATTCCTTCCCTTGTATGCTGTCAGTACCTTGGTCCATTTTATACTAATTAAAGTTCCACATTATCACTGCTTTATATTTTTACATTCTCTGTAATTTTCCAGCTAATGCACTGCTCTGATTCTCTCCGTGTGCGTGTGTGTGTGTTTGCGGGGTGGCGGAGAGTGGGGTTTCAGTGTTATACTCACAGTAACATAACAGCTTCTTTAATATTCCTGGATTCAAACTAAGTCGACACTGTCTTTGGCTCTCTATCATATTACTCCTTTCCAGTATCTAGTTTTTTCTTTGATTACTTCTGCTGCACCCTCCCGTTTCACCTTCTCTGTCATTCCTTGAATAACATATAAACTGAAATATAAGTCCCAGTTTGCCGTTCCTTGGAGCCAGGTCTTGATTATTGCTGCTATATGCTCGTCCCATACAAGGACATCCCTGCAGCTCATTAAATCCATCGTATATTGCTTCTCGTTCAGCCCACGTCTGATCCCTCCTATTCTTATTCCCGTTCTCTGCCAAATAAGTTGAAGATTTTACCCCTTTCTAGTTAATACTTGGTCCAGTTCTGTTGACGTGCAACCTGACCACGTTCGAGCCTCAAAATGTATATGTCTTTATATCTCTCGGTGTACATGCTTGACTGTTTACTTTTGATCCTTTCCACCCCCACCAGGCTGAGGACTTTGATGGCTTTGTCTTGGAGGTATGGAGCCAACTTGGTGGTCACAAACGCAAGTAAGTGACGTTGCATTTGTTGTGAGCTTTGAGATGGTGAAAGAGTGCTGAGAGATTATTTGTCCTCTGACCCATCTTGTCTTCCGTGGTTTTCTATTGAAGGCCTGGCTGTTAGGAGGAGGATTGCAAGTCCTTTTGACCATAGTCATATAGCATGAAAACAGACCCTTCAGTCCAACTCGTCCGTGCTGACCAGGTTTCCTAAACTGAACTAGTCCCATTTGCCTGCATTTAGCCCATAACCCTCTAAACGTTTCCTAGTCACGTACCTATCCAAATGTCTTTTAAATGTTGTAACTGTACCCACCTCCACCACTTCTTCTGGCAGTTCATTCCATATACTCACCGCCCTCTTTGTGAAAAAGTTGCTCCTCGGGTCCCTTTTAAGTCTTTCCCCTCTCACCTTAAACCTGTGCCCTCTAGTTTTGGACTCTCCTACACTATGGAAAAGACCTTTGCTATTCACCTTATCTATGCCCATCATGATTTTATGAACCTGTTAAAGGTCACCCCTCAACTTCCTAGGCCTTTCCAGCCTCTCTTTATAGCTCAAGTCCCCTGGTCCCAGTAACATTCTGGTAAATCTTTTTTGCACCCTTTCCAGTTTAACAACGTCCTTCTTCTAGCAGGGTGACCATCTATAACTCTATGACCAGCTCCATGACAGCTCCTTGCAGTTGTTGGAGCGGTTGATTGGGTATCCTGTTCATTAAGCTTGTCTAGTTGGATTTATGACCTTGCTATAACATACACTCACTGAGAATATTGAGTGAGATGGTCGCACAGGCTGCTTCTACTGCACCCTACCTGTACTGCAGTGTGATGGGTATGGTTATTATTAATCCATAGTATAAAGCCTTTGCCCAATAGAATAATGGACTTTTATTATAAAAGGTTTAGAATACAAGAGTTGAGCAGCCCTGCTGCAATCATACACAGTCCATAAGATGAGAAGTTTTTGCACTCAAAGGTTGATTCTTCTTTGGCGTGTGTTAAGTGTGTATGAACTGTAAGCAGGTGATAGTCACTTTCCCAGGCTCCAGACTTAAAAGTGTAGATAACAAGGTGTAGAACTGGATGAACACAGCAGGCCAAGCAGCATCAGAGGAACAGGAAGGCTGACGTTTCAGGCCTAGACCCTTCTTCAGAAATGGACCTAGGCCCGAAACGTCAGCTTTCCTGCTCCTCTGATGCTGCTTGGCCTGCTGTGTTCCTCCAGCTGTACACCTTGTTATCTCAGATTCTCCAGCATCTGCAGTTCCTACTATCTCTTAAACGTGTAGATGTTGTGTTAGGAAATGAATACTTACCATGTGTAACTTCGTAAATATACAGCAAACTATCTGTTAACCGGCATCTATATGAGCAGGATTGTGCCAGTTTAACAAATATTTTGGTTGGTCCACATAATCAATGTAAAAACACAGTGACTTTTTTTTATTATTTATTCATTTGTGGGATGTGGGTGTTGCTGGTTGGGACAGTATTTATTACCTGTCCCGAGTTGCCCTTGAGAACATAGAACATAGAACAGTACAGCACAGTACAGGCCCTTTGGCCCACAATGTTGTGCAGTGGTGATGAGCTGCCTTCTTGAACCGCTAACTAATAGAAGTGAATGCAGTGAATATATACATCGCTGTTATACTTTATTTACGGCATTAAACACTGAAATGGCGGGGTGGGGGGGAGGGTTAGGTTTGGGAAATAATCATTTTTCCCTCAACATTCATCGAGCAAACAAGGCGCACTGACACAGAGCGGATCGATGCTTGTCAGATTTTGAAATGGTGAAGACCCCGGGTGCTGGCATCAATGTAAGAGAAGCTAGAGCTGAGCAGAGCAAGGAGGATACAGGTGTCCTGTCAGATCTGGCTAACGCAGCAGAGGACAGAAATGTAACAGGAAGCCCAGAATTGCTGAAGGAGCTGATGGTCATGCATTGAGCTGTCCAAAACAGGAATGTAGGGTCCTCGAAGTGACAAAAGACACAGGAAGACTGGGAGAATAAGGTAATAATAAATTCGAACATATTTTACCGGTCAGACAGTTTTAATCCTGTGGTGTTTTTTTAATCAATGACTTTGTGCAGTGTTAGAGACTACTTGCAGTGTGAGAGATTGGTTTAGAGTGTCACCTTGATTCACTAAGTAATGACATTTGAAACAAAGTTAAGTCATATAAATGTCATGCATGCTTTATGTTTGATGTTGAAAACACAATGAGGCTACTGAAGGGAGGTATACTTCTATGTACAGTAACTGGAGTAGTAAACACAGATCTTGTCTCCTGTGAGATACTTAATGCTGTTGAGCAAACCTTTTATCAAAGCATAAATGAAACTTGACTGCAGTATGATAAGGCAGTCAACATTTGGGAAAATCAGTGAATCTGCAGACTACCCATTTAGGATTTCATTGTGAATCCTAAACAAAACTGATGTTTCTGAACAGTGCTGGACAGGTATTAGTGGCATCAAAGAATGGGAATCTGAGAGAGAAACGGTTGTTTGTTGTTTTTAATTACATAATTCAAATTATTGGACTTCACAAGTATTAAGAAAGTGCTGCTGGGAGCAATATTTGTGATGAAGAGTACACAGTACAAAGATGGTGGAAGAGATTAGTGAGAGGAGTTGTTTTAATTCTTGTATGGGATGTGAGTATCATTGGTAAGCCTCCTATTCATTGGCCATCCCTAGCTATCTTTGAACTGGTTGGCTGTCTGGGCTATTCCAGAGGGTAGTGAGGAGTTAACCTAATGCTTTGGCTTTGGAACCACACTGGGGGACACTTACTAGAAGGATGTGAGTGAGCCAGACAGGTTTTTACAAATGCTACATGCTTAGTATTCATAGAATCCGTACAGTGTGGAAACAGGCCCTCTGGCCCAACAAGTCCACACCGACCCTCAGAGCATCCCACCCGGACCTCCTTGAACACTATGGGCAATTTAGTATGACCAATCCACCTAACCTGCACATCTCTGAACTGTGGGAGGAAACCAGAACACCCAGAGGAAACCCACACAGACATGGGGAGAATATGCAAACTCCACACAGTGTCGCCTGAGGGTGGGATCGAACTTGGGTCCCTGGCACTGTGAGGCAGCAGTGTTATAATTTCCGATATTTATGGAGTTTAAATTGCACCGTCTGTCATGGATTGGATTTGAACCCACGTCCCCAGAACATTAGCCTGGGGTTGTCAATGTCTAATTCGGGGACACAAACCAGGATGCCACTGCTTCGTCGTGTTATAACTTGGTTTAAAAATTGGAAGGTGCCATCAGATCATATAATAAGACTTCCATTAGTACGTGACTTTGAGGTATTGCCGTTAATCAAAAAGTACAAGAACGGATATTTTCAGTCTACGTTTTGTAGCCTTGGGGCTGGGGCTGGGGGGAGGGGGGTGGTGTGGGGGGTCACCGAAAAGCCATGGGAAAGTATAGCTAAATAAAATGAAAGAACTGTGGACGTTGTATATCAGAAACAAAAACAGAAATTGCTGGAAAAGCTCAGTAGGTCTGGCAGCATCTGTGCAGAGAAATCAGGGTTAACGTTTCGGGTCCAGTGACCCTTACTCAGAACCGATGGTAGCTCGGAAAATGTTGGTTTTCTGCAGAAGATAGGGAGGATTAAGGAGTAAACAATGTTGGGGATAGACCCCAAAAAGAGAGAAGTACAGTTAGACAGACAAAGGAGTGGATAACGATCAGCCTTGGAGGGTGAATAGCTGTTAATGGGGACGGTTAGTGACTAACAGTGGTTAAACGGTTTCCGCCCATAAAGGGTACATCATGGATTGGATGACGATCTGAAAGTAAATGGGGGAAAATGCTTTTTGCAGAGAGAGTGGGTATAGAATGGACAGCACTGCCTGAGAGAATGATGGAGGCAAAGTTAATTGAAGCATTCCAAAAGGAATTGTCTACAAAGGTAGATTGGGCAGGATTACAGGGAGAAGATGGGATTTGCTGATTTGGAGAGCCAGTGAGAATGCGTTGGGCCAAATGACGACTCTAGAGTAAGTCAGTGAGAGCTTGGTGATCACCATTACTGCTACTAATTTTTTCAACAGATTTATTGAATAAACTGACTGAATTACAGTCAATCACATTGCTAAGCACAGTGACTCTGCAACAACATTCTAACAGATAACAGTATAGCCTGGAGATGCCTGTTAGCTGATTATATGCTGCATGGTATCTGACTCACTACAGTGCACATTGTCGCAGTACAGCACTCAGACAATGATCTAACTCTGTGCTGTATGTTAGCCAACTGTTATTGAATAATGTGCATTTTTGTCTTGCTGTGTGGTTTGTGTAACTGACTGTGTGTGCTGTGTCTATCTTGCTATGTGCTATATGTATCTGACTGTGTTATTGAATAGTGTATATTCTGTCTGTCTTGCTGTGTGGTTTCTGTTATCTAGCTGTCATTGTGGTATGCTCCATCTGCCTGTAGCTGTATAAGTTTACGATGGGTGTTTTCTGACACTGTCACTGCCCGCTGCCTTTTCTCAGTGTTTCTGTCAGGGTGACACTTGATCCTACGTGGAGCTCCCAGCACAGAGTGAGACCGGTTGATCTAACAGCCTGATGCCAATCTTTCTGCCCAACACAGTCCCTTCTCCCAGCATGCTTCATCTGGCCCTCTCAGTATCTCCTTTGTTTGCTTTCTCCTCCATATTGATGTTCCCCCACCCTCCCCTGAGCGACGTTTCTCCTCATTGTCCACTTTCAGAGGAGAGTGTGACTGTGCAGAGTCACTATTGACCCTTTTTGAGTTTTTGGCTATTTTGGACTCGGTACATATCCACCGATATATTAGCCCTCATTTTATGAGCATGAAATATGCGCTGCAAGGCAGATGTGGGGATAAAAAACAGAAAATCGGAACAGGAGTAAGCCATTCGGCCCATTGAGCATCCCCTGCATTCCACATGGTCACAGCTGATCCTCCATCTCGACACCATTCTCCTGCTCTCTCTCCA